GGGTGGGTGGGGCGCGGGCGTCCCGGGCTTGTTGCGAAGTGAGTGAAGTCACAAAGCGGTGGCCCGATCGGCTCGGAGGCGCGCGGCGATCTTCCCGCGGACGCGACGCCGGGGCCACTGGGCTGCAGCCGCCGGGCTCCTTTCGCTTTTGGTTCGGACTTTGCAGGGTGGGAGGGTCGGCGCCGGCGGGCTGCGCTGGGGGCGCCGGCGGGGATGCCCGCCCTGGCCGTCCCAGCCCGCCCAGCCGCCTTGCTCTTGCACAACTCCGGAGAAATGGATCAACTCCTCTGGCCCCTCCTTCCCTCGGGGTTTCCGGGGTATCAGGCCTCGAACCCTGAGGACTTCCCCTCCAAGGTGCCGCCGCCGGCGCGTCGCGGGGGAGCGGGTGGCCACCGTGTGGTGACATCCACCCCATCCCGCCACGCTGCTGCCGCTGCTGCTCCTGCTGCAGGGGTGGGGACAGAGTGTTAGGTGACGTTCGCCAGGCCACGGGGCACCGATGCGGCACCCACCTGGATAGTGTCCACCTGAAAACCAAGAGTGTGTAGGGGCGAGTGGGCGACGGGGTGGGACTGAGCTGGAGCCGAGCCTGGACGGCTCCTTGAGCTGTCCACACTTCTGCTTTCTACTAGACTTGGAGAATTTGTTTTCTAGAAAATAGATTTCGCTTTCTCTTCTCACGGATCAGGGTTAGCCCAGGCTTGAAGCCATGACCTAAGATGAATAATGCTGACGATACATTTCTAACCCTGCAAAAGGGATTTGTGTTCAGGAGGCACTTGCAAGCATGGTGATTCTGAGGTATAGCTTAGGGATTCTGAGCCCAGGTCTGTGGCCGAAGTCATTTGGTCATTGGAGACCCAACCCAATGGGTTCATTTCAGCCATCTAAACATTTCTTGGGTGCCACAGCCTGCTAAGGGGCAGGATACAAAGATTAAATTGTTCCATAAGGGTCTAGGAAATTGACATAAAAATAAAATAAAATTGTATGGAATATTAAACAGGAAAAGATAAAAAAATAAAACAGAGATATGCACAGAGCTGAAAGGCACTGCGCAGGTGCCAGTGTGCAGGTGAAGAACCAGGGAAGTTCTCCTGACGATATTACAGTTTTGAAAGTACACGATGGCTCATCAGGCAAGGACAAGGAAACGGCAGGAGAAAAGGTATAAACAAGTGAAATTGCTTGTTTTTCTGGAAAAATAAGTGAACTTTGTTTTCTGGAAAAGAACTTGATTTCTGGAAAAACAAGTGAAATTTCTTGTTTTTCTGAAACTAGAAAAGCATTCAAATAAGTACAAGGCAGAGAATGAAGAGGTGGGCAAAGATCCCACGTATCCAGAGCCCTGTTAAGAACCCTGGTGTTTTGGTTTTGGTTTTGGTAGTGAGGAGAGTGTAGGAACATGGACAGACTTGTATTTCAGGAGATCATTGTGGCTATGGGGGGAATGACTACCCTATTGAATAATGCGGAAGCTTTAAAACTTTTAAAACACAAAAGCTGTCATCCATGGTGTTCCATTGTACATCTCTATCCAGGTTTCTGTGTTCTGAAATATACTCTCTTCTCTGATCTTCCCTCCCTTTCCCCATCCCCTCCCTTTTCTTTTTTCTTACTCTGCAACTGATTCATCTGATTTAAAAAACCCTCCCTGAGGCAGAGGAATTATGACGCTAAATGGAATTCATCCGATCATCTTATCTTTATGTTGCTTACGTATTAATTCTCTTAAGCAATCCAATTGGCTAATCACTTTTAACACAAACATAATTACAAGAATTGTCAGACTATAATGGCAATAGGTATTTTGTTGTTTAAGATATGTACACAGGGTCCGCCCAGTGGCGCAAGCCATTAAGTGCGCGCGATCTGCTTTGGTGGCCCAGGGTTCACTGGTTCCAATCACAGGCACACACTGATGCACCGCTTGTCAGGCCATGCTGTGGCGGTGTCCCATATAAGTGGAGGAAGATGGGCACGGATGTTAGCTCAGGGCCAATCTTCCTCAGCCAAAAAAGAGGAGGATTGGCATCAGATGTTAGCTCAGGGCTGATCTTTCTCACAAAAAAAAAAAAGAGAGAGAGAGAGAAATAAACTTCCATCTTACGTAAACACTATTATTTGGGGATTTTTCTCTTACATGTCGTCACAACTAATACTTCCCATATTCGTTGATTTATCACATCCCCTTCATAATGTCTCTAAATCCCAGGTACCCAGTTGTTCAATGGGTCATATTCCTAGAAAACTGAACATAAATTCATTTTTCTAAATAATACCAACTTTAAAATATATAATGAATCCTCTTGTAAATTACCCCATAATGTATCCCTTTCGTAAATCTGGATTTGTATATGCTAAATTGGCTTAAGAAGCTGGCTTATTTCTTCTACCAGGTCATGATAATTTTACAAACTCAAACTGAAGTCTTTTTTTTGCTGAGGAAAATCGACCCTGAGCTAACATCTGTTGCCAATCTTCCTCTCTTTTCGGAGATAGATTAGCCCTGAGCTAATATCTGTGACAATCTTCCTCTATTTTGTATATGGGATGCTACCAAAGCATGGCTTGATGAGTGGTAGATTTGTCCGCACCCAGGATCCAAACCGGCCACCTCCAGGCCACCGAATCAGAGCATGCGAACTTAACCACTACGCCACCGGGCCAGGCTCCTCAAACTGCAGTCTTTTTGTTCCCCTCTCAAAGTGTGTTTTTACATGCCTAGAGTTCCCACTTTAAGGCAACACATATCGTGGATTATTAGACACTGTATTTGAAAAATTACTTTTAGAAATAATCTTAGGTCTTGAATGATATTGTCTTTCTCCAGAGAGTATTTTGTTTATTTCTTGCCAGCCCTGGGGAATCTTGCTATTCAGTGTCACCTGGACCCCATTTTAGGGCTTGGGGTTTTCTGTACCATGCAGATACCTTGAAGCCAGACTTGCAGTATGTCTGAGGACTGGTTATTTCTTGTTCGCCCTTACTTCGGCCCCACAGCCCTGGCCTCCAAGGCTTCTTCCCCTAGCCCCTACCTATAAAGTATTTGAAAGCCCTGCTCAATGGCATCTCCTGACTAGAAGCATCCCATATAAAGTAAAGGAAGATGGGCACAGACACCTCCAGGCAAAAACAGCCCCAGGGCTGTGCTCACTCCTCTGCATTTCTCTTCTCTTTGGAGATCTTGGCCCAATAACTCCTCGTTCAGTTGTCTGAATTTCCTAGTCCAATATGATTAGAAGCAGAAGCCAGGGCATTGCATTGGGTCCATTTCTTTTATTAGGAATAGATTGTCGTTTTTCTTGCAAAAGCACTTTTTAAAAATTCACAGTTCAGGGGCTGGCCCGGTGGCCCAGCGGTTAAGTGCGCGCGCTCCGCTTCCGCAGCCCTGCGGAGTTCGCAGGTTCGGGTCACGGCGCACACAGATGCACCACTTGTTAGGCCATGCTGTGGCAGCGTCCCATATAAAGTAAAGGAAGATGGGCACAGATGTTAGCCCAAGGCCAATCTTCCTCAGCAGAAAGAGGAGGATTGACAACGGATGTTAGCTCAGGGCTGATCTTCCTCACAAAATAAAAAAATAAAAATAAATAAATAAATAAAAATTCACAGTTCAGTAGCTTGGTCACTTGTCATTACTCAGCTCTTTCATACCAGATAAAAAAGTATAAAAATTAGCACTGGTAATTCCATTTCCATCACCAAGTCTTTATGTATTCTGTATACTTTTATTCACAGGCAGTAACAACCTCAATTATTTCTCTATTCTAAAAGTTGCAGTATTTCCCTCTCCTTGACTGTAGAATGAACTTAGTGACTTGCTTCTGAAGACTAGAGTAAGCAAAAGGAAACAAAATATTTTTCAGAGGAGAAATCTGGCAGACACCACTTTAACCAGATGATCGAAGTTAATATCACTGGTAACAAATTGATATTCTGTATATTGATATAACAAGATACCATAATCTGATGTGATGAGAAGGTACTTTACCTCTGTGGTATTTTCCCCAAGACTCATACCCCCAGTCTAATCATGAGAAAACAAGACAAAACACCATTCTATAATATACCTGATTAGTACTTCCAAAAGTGTTGAGGTCATGAAAAACAAGGAAAGACTGAGAAATTATTACAGACTAGAGAGGACAAAGGACACTTGATGTCTAAATGCTATATGGTATCCCAGATTGGATCCTGGAACAGAAAAGACCTTAGTAGAAAAACTGGTGAAATTTGAATAAAGCCTATCGCTTAGTTAATGGTAATGTGTCAATGTTAATTTCTTAGTTTTGACAAATGTACCATGGTTATGTTAATATTAGGGGAAACGGGTCAAGTATGGGAATGCTCTGTGCTATCTCTGCAACTTTTCTATCAATCTAAAATTATTCCAAAATATTTTTTAAAGCTGTAGGAATTTATTCACCAAAACTCAATGTTAAGATCTCATATTTAAACTCTCATATTTCATTAGTCACCTTATGACAACCCTATTACCTTTCTAAAATTATATTGTAGAGTCAACCTCTGGAACCTGGCGCTTTATGCCCTCATGGTCTTCATGGCGACCCTGGAGCTGTGGGACATCTTCTTTGGCTTCGAAGAGATCAAGTGCAGTATGAGCCGCATGTTGGAGTACCCAGAGTATCAGAAAATAGAACTTCCAAAGAAACTGGCCAAATGCTATCCTGCGTATGAATTATATCTTTATGGAGAAGGATCTTATGCTGAAGAACACAAAAGTCTCCCTTTGACAGGTATTCCAGTTCTCTTTCTTC